GGCGCAGGGCGCGGCGCCGCGCGCGCGTGGGCGCGGCACGGGCCGCCCGTCACCATGAGGACTCTCCGCAGGTTGAAGTTCATGAGTTCGCCCAGCCTCAGTGACCTGGGCAAGAGAGAGCCGGCCGCCGCCGCGGACGAGCGGGGCACGCAGCAGCGCCGGGCCTGCGCCAACGCGACCTGGAACAGGTAAGGCCGCGCCCTCCGGCCGCCCGCGGGCCCGGGGCCCCGGAGCCGGGGAGGGGGGCCCTCCAGCCGGGCCGCGGGCGGGGGCCGGCCCCCAGCGAGGAGCGGTGTCCTGGGCAGCGCGGCATTTCACAGTTTGCAAAGAACTTGCTCCGCCGGAGTTGGGTGGCCCGGGAGGGAAGTTTAGTGCAACGTGTTTCTGGAACAGAGGGACGAGCCGCGGACCCGGGGCCGGTCCCAGAGCGCCCCGCCGGTGGGTGGCGGAGTGGGCCCGGAGCCCGCGCGCCGGCCTCCCCGGGGGTCTCCCCACGTCTCCGCTCCAGTGCTCGTGGCAACCTGGGGGGTAAAGAGAGCAGGAAGTGCTTTTCCCGTTTCGCAGATGAGCCAGCGAGCCTCGCGGGCGCAGCCGGTGGGTTGCCGCTGTGCTTCCTGTCTCAGCGCGAAGGTCCCTTTGGCGGGGTGGGCGGTGGTTTTCCCTCGAGCGGCCCCCGTCCTCCCAGCTGTCGGGGGTGCGGCAGCTGCCCGGCATTCCTTAGACGACCCTCCCCCCGGGGCGGTCTCAGACAAGAAGCGGCGTGGGAAGGCCCCCCACCCCCAGCTTTGTTTGAAGAGCAGGGCTGGGATCCAGAAAAGAGACGGTTTATTTAGTGGGATTCCCCAGCGTGTCTGCTCATGAGCCCTTTTCAAATATAGGTATTTCCACCAACAGGAAAATGGGAGAGGAGAGGAAGAGAGTGAGGCAGGCTGTTCGGGGGGGGGGGGGGCTGTGGATGCTGCCCGCGCACCACACACAGCTGGCAGTGAACTCGTGCCAGATGCTCCGCCGGCTGTGGTCTTGGCCACCGGGAACCCGGCTGTCAACATGGACCCTCATTTATTGGGTTAATCAGTGGCTTCATGAGCATCGTGGTGGGCAGGGGGCTGCCAGCTTGAGAGCCTCCTCTGTGCACTAGGCAGGACGCGGTCATCCACGTGCCTGTCCTCTGTCCCCTACCAGGTTGCAAACTGCTTGAGGGCTGGGATGTGTCTGCCTCAGTTTGCCTATCTGTCAGTGGGCATGAGCATTCCTCCTTATCGGACTGATGTGGGGTCAGGGAAGCAAAGATTGGTGGGGAATCTCATTGACCCAATGACTGCACACTGTTGGAAGAGTCTTTTTCTCCTTGAAGAACTGAGGAGATAGAAGTCATCTCCTTCCTCGTTCCTCTGCCATGGTTTAGTGGAAGGAGCCAAACAGACTTCAGATCCCAGCTCTGCCTCTTCCCTGCTGCGTGGCCTTAAGTAAGTCACTTAACCTCTCTGGCCCTCCATTTCTTTATCCATAAAATGGGCTAATGAGAGTGCCCACTTCACAGGGCTGTTGCAGGGATTAAAGGTGATGATGTGTATTAAAGCCCTCACCACAGGGCCGGGCAGACGTTAGGTCCTCTGTAACTCAGAAGTCAAACCCAAACTCATGTCGGGGTGGGCCTGTAGGGACGGGGCTTGGGGGGCTCCTCAGGAGTCTGCTGGTTCCTGAGCTTTCGACAGCAGCTTTGTGAGCCGCCCTTCCCCAGCTGAGGTCTCCTGCTGGGGATCTCCAGACAGAGGTGGGGCACCCTCGGGCCAACTCTGAGTCCCCAGAGCTCAGGGGGTGCATGTGGGGAGAGCACCTGAGCCCCTCCACTGCTTGTCATTGAAACGAACTTTAGAACCTCAGTGCTGTTCTGCTCCTCGGCCTGGCCGCCTGCAGAGGAACGTCCCCTCCCCACAGCTCGTCCCTACTAGGCTCCCAGCCCCTGGACCCGCGTTAGCTCCTGCCTGCACTCCTGCATGTGCTGGGCCTCTCATTGGCTCACTTGGCCGCCATCGTAGCCCCAGGAGGGAGATGTTGCTACCCCCCCCCGCCATTTAAAGGTGCAAGGGGGACACAGTACTAGGAGACCTGCCCACATAGGATGCAGAGCCAGAACCCTGCTCTCTCCTCCTCGGGGAGAGGGGGCCTGAGCCAAGGAGGGGCAAGGTGCCTTCCCCTGCCAGGTCCCTGAGCGGGAACTGCGCTCTGCCTGCCTGCCCACCCCTGTCCTTGCGGTGCTCCCTGCTGGGCCCCGGGATGACAGCGTCGGGGTCCAGACAGTCTGCGGGTCTCTCCTTGCTGAGCGGGGACTCCTCATTTTGAGTGCAAGATGTACCCCCTTTTATCCGTGTGACTACGTTAGTCTCCTAGGGCAACTGTAACAGATTGCCACAAACTTGGCTTAAAACAACAGAAGTTTATTCTTTCACCGTTCTAGAGGCCAGAAGTCCAAAATCAAGGTGTCAGAGGGGTGGTGCTCCCTCCAGACGCTCCAGGGAGGAGCTTTCCTGCCTCTTCCAGCTCCTGGAGGCTCCGTGGCTGTGGCTGCGTCACTCCAGTCTCTGCCTCTGTCTCCGCGTGGTCTTCTCTGTGTCTCTTTGTCCAAATCTCTCTCTCCTTTCTCTCATAAAGACACCAGTCATTGGATGTAGGGCCCACCCTAAATCCAGGATGATTTCATCTCCAGATCCTTAACTAATTACATCTGCAAAGACCCTGTTTCCAAAGAAGAGCTGAGGTTTCAGGTGGGCATGAATTTCTGGGGGACACTACAGTGACCCCGGGCACATCCCCTAAATTCTCTGTGTCTCTGTTTCATCCTCTGGACATGGGCCAGAAATACATGGCTTGCTTTTGTGAGAATGGAATCCATGCACCCACTTAGGCATCCAGTCATTCATTCAGTCATTCACTCACTCATTCACTCACGGGCACTAGGCTGGGCCCAGGACAGAGTCAGCAGAGCACTGCATCCTGGAGCTTACCATTCATAGAGGACGTCCAGAAGTAAACAAGGACTCAGTAAACCGTGAGGTCCCCCCAGGTCGTGTTTGGTGCTGGGAAGAAGATAAGTCGCCACATGCGAGTGCTGAACAGGCTTGGCCGCAGCCGCGTTGCATTCCTTCCTTGGTGGATGTTGACTTCTTTGGTGTGCGGGAATGTCTGAGGGAGTGGTGGGTGCCAGGCCGGCCGGGCGCTGGGCCTCCCGTGCAGACCGTGAACTAGAGCCGTCAGAAGGTGTTCCCTGAGTGCCTGCTGCTTCCTCGGGCGGGTTTCTCCCCTGTGCAGGCTGAGTGCTGAGTACCGGGGCCACAGAGGCAGAGGTGGGGGCCCTTAGAAGGCTTACCTGCTGCTCCCACCTGGAGTCCTTTATCCCCTCCTTCCTCAAGGATCCAGACGTAGCATGTCATGTTCCCGTCTGTCCCTGCATTCCCCCCAGAAAACCCTGGTTGGCGCCTCACTGGGTCTGGACCCCAGGCGTGTGCGGGGCCTCCAGCTCCAGGAAGATCACATTCTTGAGTTGAGGGGCCAGCTTAGGGGTGGGAGGGAGCTTCCCAAACCCCAACACAAGTCCCCTATACCTGTGTTTGGGCCAGAGGATCTTTTTTTTTTTTAATTTTTATTTATTCATTGTTTTCCCCCAAAGCCCCAGTAGATAGTTGTATGTCATAGCTGCACAGCCTTCTAGTTGCTGTATGTGGGACGCGGCCTCAGCATGGCCGGAGAAGCGGTGCATCGGTGTGCACCCGGGATCCGAACCCGGGCCGCCAGTAGCGGAGCGCGTGCACTTAACCGCTAAGCCACAGGGCCGGCCCTGGGCCAGAGGATCTTAACCATTGTGGAGCCCTACTCCTTGCCGGGCCTGGATCTGCCCAAATGCGTGGGGTTTGGAGAGCCCAGTGCCCACCCCGCGTTCTGGAAATGAGAGCAGAGGCCCCGAGCAGGGTGGAGGGTGCGCCCACACCATGTATGCGACACTTCTCCCCACAAATCTGCTTCCAAGGCTGGGGTGATTGTCTTTAGCTTACAGATAGGGAAACTGAGGCCTGAGAGAGAGAGGACTTGATCAAGATCCCCTGCTAGCGTCGGGGTCTGGGATCTGAACTCAGGTCTGACTTGAAGCCACTGCCTGGGGACACGTGCAAGTTCCTGTCCCGCTGGGCCCTGGGAGGTGGGTGTTGGTGTAAGACCCCTGAGGCTGCTGCCTGCCTCGTTGTCTGTGCTCCCCTGGTCCTGGACGGGGCCGCCGGCCCAGCCCCCACAGAGTATTCTGCACCCACGTCTCCCAGCACTGCTGAGTGGCCCTGAGTGCCCCATCCCCAGGCGGGGGTGCACACCACCCCCTGACCCATGCCGGGCCCCATCCAACCCTGGGCGTGGAGGAGCTCCTTTATCCCTGCAGCAGCCTGCAAAGTGGGACTCATTGCCCCCATCCTGCAGGTGAGGACACTGAGGCTCAGAGCAGAGCAGGGACTGCCCAGGTCTAACTCCAACACCTGTGCCTCTGCCACCACCTCATGGGGGTCTCTGAGGGGCCAGAGGAGGTTGGCTGAAGACTCAGGGTGACCGACTGGTTGGGGCTGGGGGTTGGAGGCTGATAGGGGCCTGTGCTCGGCTCCCTCATGACCCCCTGCCCCTGCCTACTCGCCTGGGTCCCCCCCCCCCCCCACCCAGGCAGTCTGGGTGGGGTCAGCAGAGTCCTGGCCCCCAGAGATTCTCGGGAGCCTGTGACTGTTACCTTGCACAGCAGAAGGGACTCTGCAGCTGTGATTAAGTTAAGGCTCCTGAGATGAGAGCGTACGCAGGTGGGCTCAGTGTTCCCACAGGGTCTTCATGAGAGGGAGGCACGGGGGTCCTGCGCGATGTGAGGGTGGAAGCAGGGACGCTGAAGATGCTGCGCTGCTGGCTTCGAGGACGGTGGAAGGATCCCAAGCCAAGGAACGTGGGCACATCTAGAAGCTGGAAGAGGCCAGGAAACGGATTCTCCCCTGGAGCCTCCAGAAGGACCAGCTCCGTGAACACCTGATTTTAGCCCCGTGATGCTGATTTAGAACTTCGGGCCTTCAGAACTATGAGAAGACAGCCCTGACTTGTTTAAGCCACCGAGTTTGTGGTTTTTGGTTACAGCAGCCACAGGAGCTAATACACTGGGCGTCCCCCCTTCCCC